CTGAGAAACAGGACATATGAACATTTTTCACACTTACAACCTTGCAGCATGCCTATAGTCACACGATCAAATTCAGATATTTGACAACTGGTTTGTATTTATGACGGTTGCAGTGTCCCGGAACCCTTTTGCAGCCGTAAAGTAAAGTGAATGGGGAAACCAGATTCACTTAACGACCGTGTTACTAAATTCACAACTGCAGTGCTTCACTTAACAATTGGGGCAAGAAAGGTAGTAAAATGGAAAAATGGGGTAGAACTCACTTGATGAATGTTTCACTTAGCAACATAAATTTTGGGCTCAATTGTGGTCATAAATTGAGTACCTGTATACACAATTTGAATCTTACGTTAGAAGCCAGAAATTAAGAGTCAAGGAATTCATGATTTGTACTGTGTTATCTCCTGCTTTTAGGTCAAATTTTATTTGGGTAACATCCTATTCGTGGTGTTTCACTTAAGTTTCAGAAGGGGTTAACGATTCATTGTGCTCCTGTTCGTATATATGTGCAAGGAGGTTGCTGCTTGAAAATATATAATTATTTTAAACCATAGTTTGTAAATTGTGATAAATGATTTTACATTATAAAAAGCAAATGCAGCTATATTGGTCAAAAAGAAAAATCCAAGTCCTTATTAGAGTTGCATCTTTTATTATATCAAAATCACAAAATAGAAAACAAACTTGAGTTCTTCAGAATTCTTCACCAGACAAGATAGTAAGCAAAGGAACTAACTGGGAGAAGGCAAGAGAAGGGAATCTGTAATCAAAATAAGGGCTTCCAAGTTCAACAGAAGCCTCTCTTTCCACTTTCCAATTCCTTTAACAAAGAGGTACAGAGAACTTAGGAAATGTATTAGATCAATATCACCAAAGGAATGTGATCCTAACAAAACTTTCACAAAATAATTTGCATACGAATTCAGAGGCTTTCTAATGTACATATCAGGTATCAGTCAGTTTATCCTATAAAGGGACTGCTGCTCGATCAAACAACTTATATCAATGTGGAGGCTCTTCTGAAGCCATGTTCTGAGTGTTCTCTATGGAAGGATTCTCTGTGATGGGATCTGGTGTATCCAAAAGAGGTTCAGCGTCATCCTTTGCAATGTCAGCTGTAATCCCGGGTTCCAAATCCCAATCCATGTTTCCTTGGTCACTGGCTTCTTCTTCAGATTCTTCTGCCAGCTTATCCTGGGATTCAGCTGTTTCATCATCTTTTTCATACAAGAAATTGCAAATCATGTTTGGTCTGCTGTATGAGAAGTCTTTGTCCTTAAGATCCAGCCATTCTATGCCACCCCCTGCCAAATTAAAACAAGGGGAAAGAGATGGGAAGGAGTTAGTAAGAAGAAAATAAATAAGCAAACGTCATTTTATTGAAGATTTTGTCTCATCCCTTATTCATATCTTATTCTCCTCTTCCCTTATCCCCTCTTTTCTGGTTTCCCCAGCAATGATACCACTCTGTAAATGATCCTCATATTGAGACTGCTGAACAGCAAAATTCAAAGATTATTTGGCTGCTACTTGTGATTAAAAACATTCATGTTGAGATAGTACTGTATTACAAAAATGCATATTGCATGACTGCTATGAGCTACTACAACAAAATGTGAGAAAAAACACTACTTCCAAATTTAAGGATTCTAAATCTAAGTGAAATACAACATTAAATGGAAATATTCGTATCACATTCATCTTCAGTAACAGGTCCTTGTTATGATGGGTAACCAAGATTTGAACTCCAATAACGGCAGATTTGGGTTAATCTGCAATAGATCTGACAAGTAACGTTAAAATGGATAAATGAAGGTAGATGGGGCTCTTGCCCTTCCCAGACATGCAAGGTTATTATTCTGACGTCAAACAGAACATACACTAACTCTGTTTTTTCTCAAATTGATTCTATCAATTAAGGAGTGGGAACATAAAACAATCCTGAACATTTTACAGTTCAGGATATTATGATGGACTGGTTAAGATCGCATTAAGATAACAGAAAGAGTTGCTGAGCTACAATTTTATCAAAGCTCAATTAAAGTTATCTGATGTTGGAGTGGTGCAGAGAAAGCATGCATTTTCAAGCCATGAAAACAGCAATGTAGAGCAGTCTGTGACTGTTTTACAAAACAGTAATTTAGTTTTGCTTACAATGTTACACAAGCAATATTGTTATGTTGCTATGGTTTATAACAATGTACTCTGCAATATAATATTTAAACTATCTGTGAACCCAATTAGAGTATATGAAACCTGGACAGAAAAGAGCAAAAAGGCAATGCATGATATTATAGTGTATCTTGTGAATATACTTAAAGTGT